TTCTACACACTCTCTCTCACACACACACACACACACACACACACACACACAGAGATTTTTAATCATAATCTCCAGGCAAAACACTATTCAATTTAACTCTTAAAGTACAGTTCTAAGAGGTAAACATACTGCCTTCTTACTTGAGACAGGCTCCCTGTGAGTAGTGAGAGACAACTCTGCTTACCTTTATGATACAATAAAGGATGTATTTGGATTTATTTCTACACCACTAAGGCCTGGCCTGCACTACAGAGGTTAGGTTGACATAAGACAGCTTACGTCGACCTAGCTGTGTAAGTGTCTATACTACAATTTTCCTCCCGCTGATTTAACTTGCCCGCTATGCTGACCTAATAACTCCACCTCAGAGCTGTAGTGCTAAGGTCGATGTAGTTAGGTCGATGCAGTGTCTGTGCTTGCTTACATTGCCCGTTGCTGCCTTTCACAGCCCATTGGCACCCCACAATGCCCCACCTGAGTTGGTGCAAGTGCTTCTGGTGAGGACAAGCACCGCCAACGGAAGGAGCATAGTGTGGACACAAAGAACGGATGTAATTACCATGGTGGCTGTAGGTCAAGCGAACTTAAGTCGATTTAATTTTGTAGTATAGACATGCCTTAAGTGTTCTCCACACTACATTAAATGAAAATGGCAAGACTAGTTAAAGATGCATTTGAGGTATAAACAGCTATATATTTAAATGCTAGTACCAATACATGATTTAAACTATTACTTCAATCCTTTCACCTGTGAAGCCAGGCTATTGTCATAATACAGTGGTGCCCAAACTTCTCCTGTTCTCCCCCCACCCTTACCAGTAATGGAATCTGTCTGCGCCCCCCTCCATTACTGCACAGTTGGCTCAGCAGAGTAGCTTGGGCTGAAGGCAGAGCTGGGGGCAGAACTGGGGCTGGGGGAGGAGCTGGGGCTAGATGGGGAGCTGGGCTGGAGATGGAGGGGGAATGAGGGTGGAGCTGGGCTGTTGGTGGAGCTGGGCTCAGGGAGGAGTGGAGATGGGGAAGAGTGGGGCTGGGTGGTGGAGCTCGTTCCTCACCCCATCACCCGTGGGGGATGGCTTAGGCCCCGCCAATGCGCACCCCCGAATGTTCCTCTGTGCCCCTCAACAGGGTGCACCCCACAGTTTGGGGACAACTGTCTTCATATATGGAGTCCAACTATACATGCTATTTACAAATTTAAGATAGCTTTTCTGAAACTCAACCTGCTCAGGCAAGAACTAAAGTGCACTCAAGGTGGGTGGAGTGATTTCCCTGCTATCCAATAGAATAGAATCTGTATTTCAAGTTCTGATGGTTCACAAGATATTGGACCTAAAAACCTGTGACTGATCTAGGTTCAATATTGTAAGGACTCTGCCTCAGGAGGAAGAGCAAATATTTTTGAGGCAGAGATTTTTTTGAATTTTTTAATACAGTAACTGATAGAAAGCAGCTCAAAGTGTTGGAATGTTAGAAGCAGTCTGGAGTGAAATCAGTGGGCAAAATGCAGGTGAGGCTCTCAAAAATAAAAAAATGTAATATATCTTATCTCTATTGCCATGTATGCAGGGCACATTTTTGTTTAAAAGAATGAGTTTTCAAAACTATTTTTTAAAGAGAAAATTTCTCGGTTTAAATACTCATTAATATGTACAGTAATATTTTACATCTTTATGTATCTCTTCATCTCCTCCTTTTTAAATATTGATTTTAAAAAAATCGGAAATTTAACTCCAAAAATGTGTCATTGTTTCAACATCTCCACAATAAAAGGGGCAGTTTTCTTTCACTTAGATCTGCCATTTTACGGATACATCAGTGCTTAGATATAACAGCAATAGGCACCACCGATGAACTGGAGATAGACAGCTGTAGTTTTACAACAGAGGAAGTACAGCACAATATTTGACTAGATGAAAAGTGGTTCATGTAACTTCACTTTAAAAAAAGTTAACTTGCCTTACAGCAACATGAAGTGTTCCAAAGATGTATTTCCTTTGTCAAACTGAAATAAACTATCAGAATAGCAGCTTCCTGTGTGTGTTAATTAAACATATGATACTTTAAAAAGAGGATAGAGGGTATTTAAGGCACAAAGGGGCAAATTTTAAAAGATGTAATTTTGTATGCTCCTGCCTGGCTCCCATGCACAAAAAATGAGCAAAGCTTGACTTGCATGTCAGCAGGAGATGTGAATAAAATTCTGTCTTTAAAAATTTAGTCTTTAATTTGTGTGCAATTTTTCTCTCTCTGCAATTAGATGCAACAATTAGAACATATAATTTATTTCACATTCCAGATTCTTATTTATGAACCAGAAGCCATTTTTTTCTCCCCACCCACCAACAATCTAGGCAGATCTGTGAAGAATTTTAAGATGTAGTCCAAGTTGTGGAATTAAAGTATGCTACTGACATTACAGAAATAGAGACTTCCCTTAAGGCTCGACTACACTTACAGCAGTGCAGCTGTAGCATTTAGTGAAGACTACCTACGCTGATGGGAGAGCTTCTCCTATTGGTGTAGGTACTCCATCTTCCCGCTAGGTGGTAGTTATGTCAATGGTAGCCGCCTTCCTGTCCACATAGAGCGGTCTACACTGGGGATTAGGTCGGTATAACTATGTCACTCAGCACACTCCTGAATGACTTAGTAATACTGACATACATTGGTAGTGTAGACTAAGCCTCTCCTTCCATTTTGAGTTCACACAAGTAAGAGCTAGTCTACACTGGCTACGGTAAAGCGCTGCTGTGGCAACACTTTAACGTGCCTTGTATGGTCAATGAGGGGCAACCACCTCAATGAGGGGCACAGCTCCCAGCGCTGGAGCACTGTTTACACTGGCGCTTTACAGCAGTGCAACTTGCTGTGCTCAGGGGGTGTTCTTTCACACCCCGAGCGAGAAAGTTGCAGTGCTGTTAATTGCCAGTGTAGACAAGCCCTAAATGCTTCATTGCTGTTAAATGTAAATAGCACCATTCTTTTTGTGCAATTCAATGATGTGCCAACCACTATTCATTTCAAAAGAATGCTGCAACACTCAAGATGAAGTGGAAAAACCAGAAGTTAAGGGTTAAGTCATGTTTCATGCATAAGACACACGATTTTAAGATGTAGTGTACACTTTATAGTAAAAGTTTGTTAATTGACAGCAATTGGGAAATAAGTCTCACCTTAATCTCTGCTCGGATTCAATGAGCATGGAAATTCCATGCATCTAGTATCAACCTTTTACCTCTATCCTACATTTAGACATTTGTTACATTAAATATCTAGAGTAGATTACTCTTCTGATGATGGATTTGTTACTGGGAACAGTAACGCCCACAGAAGTGCTGGTGCCAAGTGCTCGGACTCTTTGATAAGGCAAAAATGACAATGTACATACTGTAGGAGGAACTGGATCTTGAAAAGCCAGGCTCATTTCATGGCAGTAGAGGTACAGCAGTAGCCTCTCACATTTCTGTATATAGGGAAAGACAGAATGCCTGTGTATTAGAGAATGGCTGCGATTTTACCCTTAATAGTTTATTATGCTAAAAAATTCAGGCAGACGTTTACTACTTCCCCAGCACCAAAAAACATCACACATTTGAAAATATCAGACATTCAGAGAAAGCAAGTTAATCATCATTACCAAGAAGCCTAATTCTGTTTTTTCCACATAGTGCCACCCAAGAGAATGCCCCCCTGGCCGCAGTTCTACCTAGTGCTCCCCTCTCCCTCCCTCCCGCCCCCCCTCAGGCTCGGGCCAAATTATGACCTCAGTAACACTTTACTTTCAATGTATACGCAGGTGTTACTAACTGGATTTTAGTCAACAATTCTGTTGATGAACCATAAGGAGACAAGCAATTTAGCTCACACTTTCTCAGCTGTGTTATGCAGAAGTCAACAGCAAAACATTTTGTCACTGAAGCTCGCAGAACCATTAACACACTGCATCTATAGTAAGATAACATTTTTACTGTCTTTTTCAGTGTCAAGCCACCTGTTAAGCATGGCAGAGTAGAGAGTTTGTGATCTAGACTTCAGTTCAAAAGCTTTTTGCTTTGCTTAAGGGGATAATTTTGAATGAGGCTTGCTCAAAAGAGGGTATGTCTATGATGAACAAAAACAACAAAAAACAAACAAACCAACCAACCACCACAACACCGAGCCTTAGAGCCCAGGTCAACTGACTCAGGCTTGTGCTGTGGAGCTAGAAGTAGCAGTGTAGACATTCCCACTTGGACTAAAGCCCAGGCTCTAGAGCCTATATAAAGTGAGAGTGTCTGGTGCTGCAAAGACTGCAGGGTAAGAAGCACACCTCAGACCTAGTTCTCCTTATGGTAGGAGCCTCCACTTTATACCTATAGACTAAGCTAGAGTGCAAAAAGGGCCCAAAATTAAATAAAAATTACTAAACTAATCTACTAATACTGGGTAAAATACAAAAACCAAGAGGCTCTGGGAAACAATTTTTCCAGAACATTGGGTCAAAGAGACTGAGCCCAGGTTTCTGTTCTGCACACAGTTGGAAGAAACAGAGGTGGCTGACGTACCCCACCACCTTTTATAGCTTCACCTCTAAGCCCTGGTCTACACTGGGGGGGAGGTGGGGGGGAAGGGATCGATCTAAGATACGCAACTTCATCTATGAGAATAGCGTAGCTGAAGTCGACGCATCTTAGATTGACTTACTTCGTGTCCTCGCGGCGCGGGATCGATGGCCGCCGCTCCCCCCGTCGACTCCGCTTCCGCCTCTCGCCCTGGTGGAGTTCCGGAGTCGACGGGGAGGGCGTTCGGGAATCGATCCGGTGGGTAGTGAAGATGTACCCTAATATTCAGAGCCACAAAGGG